CCCCCCCCCCCCCCCCCCCCGCCATAATGTACCTGCTGAATCCCTTCAATTGCAGAGGGGGTATCTTCTGCATACCACCTGGGTTACAGTAGTATCAGACTTAATCACTGACTCAATAGACCAGTCTACTAAACTTCTGTTGCTGATTTCCCCCTCCTGACACATGTTGGGTCACAGTACCCTGGCATCCCAGGATGTTTTGAGGCTTCCATTAACCCTTACTCACAGGGTGGGCAGGCAGGCAAGCCTCTATCCCAGTTTGTCTGCTCTAGCTGAGCTGAGAAGCCCCTGGCCCCCCTCCCAGCTGTCACAGAGTTGAGGCAGCAAAGTTCCTGCTCCCTAACCCAGCAGGCAGCACCACAGGAGGGGACAGCCCCCTGCCGCAGTCTCCTCAGCTGGGGTCTGCACAGAGAGAAGGAGCTTTCCCCACCCCTGAAGAATTCATCTGTTTCTTTTTTCAAATGTCCATTTTTCCTTCTGCAGGTAAATTACTGCATACTTGCTACACATTAGATAAGTGTATTGCTTCCCCCTCTAGTGGTTGGTCTGCTTTGATTTGTATAACTGACAAGAACCACCTGCCTGGGTATTACTGCCCCTTTGCTTTAAAAGGCAGACACCTATGCTTTTCTTGTTGAAATGCGTAAGATCCGAAGAAATACACTCTGCCCAAGCAAGCTGCACTTATAAAGGTGATGAGCAGTGATGGGCCTAGCTAGAATCAGTTATTGACTTTACATAAATGAACTTCAGATTGGCATGGGTTGCTGTATCCCAGCTGCAGAGGGAGGAAGGATTTATAATAAAAGTACCCTGACATGTTACAAGCGGTGTGGTTGTGGGCTGTTAGCCAAACTTGTACCTATACCTCCCTGGCAAAAGAAAAGAGAATTTCTGAAACTAATGCCACTAATTCGGTGCAGAGGTTTGACAGGAATGGCGTTAGCATGGGGGGGGGGCACATGACCCCCCTGAGATTAACCACTACTAGCTTGTGTGGGCAGTCACCACCACCCTGCCACTGACATGGCTACTGTCTGCTGCAGGCGGTCCCCACTTGCCACCACCGACAGCACTGATGGCAGCTGCAGGCAGTCCCCACTCGCTGCTTGTCACAACCCCCCCCCATCTGCCACTGACACCACTGGTGGTAGCTGTGGGCCGTCCCTGCTCATGGCCATGGTGCCCGCCCTCGCCCCCCACCAGTTGTAGGATGCACCAGCCATTCATGAGCACTAGTATGTCAGGGGTAGGAGGGAGTGGAAGTACATGTTCCCAAC